TTGTTCCGATAGTTGTTATATCTTTAAAATGAGAAGAGATAAGATTGTGCGTTCAATTGTTTTCGTCGTGTGAGTCGATCACGCCACTCTGTCATCACTCACCACTCACGACATTTTAATAGCGCCTGCGACAGCAAATCTTGTGGTTGTAAGCAAACACCTGGTCACTATCAGAAAAGTAAATATTTGTCGATCGTTACTTTTAGGTCTATTTCGATTTTTTAACATGGAAATTATTAATTGTTTCGACCTTATCGATCAAATCACATTTAAGAACACGTTGCGATAGTTTTTATTAGACTATCTCAATGTATAGGCAGAATACTTGCATAAACTGCCACGTGTGTCGCTAGTTGTTCCTCTGATTTGGGGCAGGTTGTTACTTTTCAATCGTGAGCAATCGAGTATTTCAATAAATACACATTTTAGACATATTACACCTTAATGTTTATTTACTCAGCTTTTAATGCTCTCTTAATTTCTGGAAAGAAGTACAGGGTGTTCCAGAGTGTTTTTTTTTTTTTTTACACTTTTCATCACATTGTTCAGTTGTTTACAATTTTTTTCTATCTTCAGTAACAACCGAGTTATAACTCGGTCCAGTTACTAGATACGCCCTGTATTCTGTGCAGAGATAAAAAGATGGCTAGTTGGACGGCACAGGGACATGAAGGGTATAATCGATGGAAACGATATAGCGAAGTCCTGAAATTAGTCAGGTGTCAAAGTGCACGTAAAGGTGCGCTTAGTAGTTCATCCCCCACTTTCAAAAATTTGTCATATATTTACTCGAATTTTGTTGAAGCGGGGAGAGGAGCGAGCGAGCATTCGTTCGTTTGGTCTAAACGCGCCTTAATTCGAGCGAAGTAAGGAGCTCGAGCCTCGCTTATAATTAGTGCCATTTGATGTCAATTCAGAATTGGTTCTTCCATTGTAATGTATCTAAAACACTTGCCTGTGCCTTAATCGTTGGCAACTGCAGATTAATTTTTACTGTTACGAGCAGAAGGCTTAATACCAGATATAACTTACCCCTTTGCGGTTCGAATAATCCAGTTAGTCCGCACTCGTTTAAACACTGCCGAGCAGTACCACGTAGTTTGCCTTTATTTCAATATTTCCAAGTAATATTAGCCATAAAATATTAAGTTTCAGTATAATATTAATGCACAAAAAAAATGATTTACTATCGTTTGTAATTTATAATTCATCATTGTGTGATATCTGAAGGCAAAAGTTCCTATGTCAAGTCTGACTCGTGTTCTATCAATCATGAAAACATTATTGCCTTCTTTAAAACAACCATCTGAACTCAATATAATCGGTATCACCGCTTAATGCTTTAATTTACGATCTTACTACATCGCTTCCACCAACTATACTTCACTCGCTCCACCTGATCTCGTCTGTGACCCTCCCGAAATCTCTACCTTTATCCCTTTCGCTACGCTGTTGCTGTATGGTGTGCAATCAAGGCACGGGTATACGCCTTACCGACAGAGCGTAACATTACTTTTTTGTTATTTTCTTAGTTCTTAAGACAGCGCAACAAAACAACTCGATAAAAGTAAATCTATTTAGAGATATCGAGCTATGCTATGCTTGAAGTTCTTATGAGTGATTACAGTCACCGTTAGTAACAAAAGGGCAGTGGTGCGTTATCCTATGGGCAAAAGGGGCCTCTACCAACGAGGGGGGCCCCAAACCAATCTTCTATGACCTTATTGCTGTAGTAGGGGTCCCAAAATTCAAATTTGCTCGGGGTCTCACGAAGCTATAACGCGCCACAGCAAAAGGGTTAAGTTCTTGGCCACACATGCTGGCACAGTAGTAGAATCTCCGAATTTGCAGGTGATACGTTGAAAAATCTAGCAGGGATGCACGAAACCGCGGGTATGTACGCTATTGCTCTGAAGTTCTGAAGTGTGTTGGATCGTTTGCTACCGCTCTATCCCACTTGGTCTCGATACGTCCTTTCCGTTCTTTTCATCACGCGACGCTACATAATCCAATTTGCAAATGTGACCGTTTCGTCCAATGACAAAAGTCTTTGTCACCGTGTAAGAGAAGGTGTGTCTATTACACTGTAACCAATCAGACCCGCGTTCCTTCCGCTAGCTAACTTCTTATCTCTGCATAGCACTTACTCTGTATGCAGAGCAATTTTCGACTTGCTAACTTGAACACGTGAGCTCTTGAAATTGTTACGTCCGTATGGACTGCGTATGCCTAACAAGAAAAGGAACATTAAGGTGAAGAAGGTCCGCGTACGCATTTGTTCGATCGCCAGCGGATGAGTCTCTGTTCGGCCGTCCCTGGGCGCGGGCTCTACGCGCTCTCTGATTGGCCAGTGGTTTTCGTTAATAATTCGAAAACGAAGCTTCGGACAACATTTTGGTAAAGGAAAAAGTTGTTCAGAGTCACCCCAGCAACCCCCCATTTCCGGGTGTTACACTCTTTACGGGACACCCTGCAGTAGACTGATGCAATCCTGGTCTCTTTTTCTTAAATGCGCAACAGACTTTCTGTCGTGCCCTTGCGGGTTTCTTCCTTCGCTTCGACTGCGATTTCCGAAGTGTTAAGACGTCCTTCCGCGCCAAAGAAAATAAAATACGTTTAAGAGAATTCGCAGTGAACACCATTTATTTTAACCCATTAATCCAATAGTGACAAACTCCCACTGGCATCGAGACGGGGAACAGTACAGTTCGTTTACGTTCTGGGCTTGCACAAATATAGATTCACGTGACTTGTTTTTAACCCTGAAGCGAACCATTTTATTTCCAACTCTGCAATACTAGGAATAAGTATATACAGGGTGTCCCGTAACTCTTCAAACACCCGGATATGGGGGGTTGCTGGGGTGATTCTGAACAACTTTTTCCTTTACCAAAATGTTGTTTAAAGCTTCATTTTTGAATTATTAACGAAAAACACTGGCCAATGTGCAAAGTCAAATTTTTTGACAGCGATCGATAACCGAGAAGTCACGCGTACGCGTCGTTCGTGATAGCGCGCGGGCGAATCTCTGTTCGCCCGTCCCTGAGCGCGGGCTCTGCGCGCGCTTTGATTGGCCAGTGTTTTTCGTTAATAGTTCGAAAACGAAGCTTCGGACAACATTTTGGTAAAGGAAAAAGTTGTTCAGAGTCACCTCAGGAACCCTCCAGTTCGAGGATTTACAGGACACCCTGTATACTGTGCAATTGTACACGCGGAAACGAACGGTGAAACTACCTTTTGTCTCAGTTACTGTTACTTGTTGATGGCACACTTAATAACAGTGTGATAAAAGCATCGAACAATAATGTGACGCAGTGTAACAGTAACGTGGTTGTTATGTTAGAATAACGTAATAGCTTTTGCAACATGGAGACATTATCCTTATTGAAAACTAGTTTTAATGGTCATATATTAATGCTTCAACAGAGCAGGCAATACGATGGTTTTTGTTTTTTTAAGATCTTTCCTTAAGCTTCAGGTTTCCGAGGCGTACGCTATAATTAGGCTATAAATGTTTATGCAATTACAACATATAGAAATATGAAAAATATGTGAAAGTAACGTTATAATCTCACTGACTGTACTATGGTACATTTATCTATAGATTAGTGTTGCTTATGTATCTGAAGGTATTCTAACGTTACCAGGAGCGCATTTATACTTTGGGGGGCCCTAGGCGAAAGAACAAGTCTAGTTCAGTTAACCAAACTCGTACACATTTTTTTTTATTGAATATAAAAATCGACATTTCCGTAATAACTTATTTTATTAAATTACTGGACTGTAAAAATTCCTGTTAATATCGACAGTTGTGAATAGTGGACCCTCGTAAATTTGGCGTTTTCGTTTTCAGCGGTCTTTGTTTTTATATTATGTATTTATTATTTAAAAATGAGTATTTTATCTTGCAACTATAACTAGACTGTTTCATATTGTTGCTGGTGAGGAATAAGGTTTTAAAATATGGCCCCAGCTTGCGCCTAATGCAGCCCTGAACGTTACTCTCGTCCATTTTGGCGTATTTTGATATGTTACAAATACGCAAACAAACGCGGTCTAACCATAAATATTTTACGACTGGTACGTTTCTGACTGTTTCAGAATGAAATAAAAAATATATATAGTTATTTTGAAACGTATATTTTTCAAGATTTTTATACGATGTAAATCAATTTCAGTGTGAAGAGTAAGTAAAAAGAAGAATAAGAAATTTGGCTGAATAAAATAATTGCATATTACTTAAAATAATCATACTTTAAGTGTTCAATTCATCGCTTAGTTGGTATATTCGGTACAAATACAGTATTGCTTCTTCCATCACTGAAATTCGTATTAATTTACGACCTTTATTGTTTCCAAAGAAATCGTTCCACTTTGTCATAATTAATGTTGAAACTCCAAAGCCACATGGAAGTGTTCGGTAACCCGGAAATTCCAAAAAATTTGAAACTCTGCAAAAATGTAGTTCATGTGACGTTAATAACGAAACCATTGTTGGCGATGACAATGACACGGTCCTAGGGGTTGGAAACACCCTTTGAAAAAAAATTGTTATTTACGAAACCGTATACAAAATGGAAAAAAAATGTTAAATCCCAAGTTCCATAGTTTCCGATATCCTACATTTAAAAACATTTTATTTCTTTCAAAATTTACTTCCACCGGTGTTTCTTCGGTTTCGTGAATATTTTCACGATAACACGAAAAGTGACAATTTCTTCAATAGCGTATTTTCATCCCTGAGATCGTTTCATTATCGAAACAAAAAAAAAATTATTTCATTAGCGTCAATTGAACTACGTTTCTGCAAAGTTACAGATTTTTCCGAATTTTCGGATTACCGAACTTCCCCTGTCAAGTGTAATTCACCGGCGACATTCGTTCCCAAAGCACGGGCACTGAAATCGTTGCGACATTCACGTGCTGAGCAACGCTAGCTATAAATACAAGAGAAACAATTCTAGTTTAACGTTAACAAGAAGCACTGATTGAAATCGTAGGGGAGGGCTGCGTGGAGAAACCAGTATCGACGTTATGGCGCAATTACTTTACCAGCAGCCGACCGGACGTGTCGATGAGGCTGACGGTGACGAACGGTGGGCTGACCGCGACGACCAAGTATCACGGTCTGACGGAGTACTGGGCGCACAGGGTGACCTATTGCACGGCACCTGCTTCCCATCCACGGCTCTTCGTCTGGGTGTACCGGCACGAGGGACGCAGGTTAAGGCCCGAGCTCAGGTGTCACGCCGCCCTTTGCAGCAAAGAGTCCACTGCTAGGAGGCTCGCCTCGACCTTGAACGCCAGGTTACAACAGGCGCTTCTGGAATTCCGACGGGACAAGGTCTCCAGACAAAATGCTAGGTAAGAGGATCGATCTCTGTAACTTGCACTATGTCACACGAGAGCGTGTAATTACACTGGTCTACATTTTTTTTTTTTTGTCGCGTAAGGTTTAATATGTGATTTTAACCCCTCGACGTATGATTCCTTTTCGTGATTATGTACCGCAAGCGTCAGCTGTTTACTGTTTCAGTATTATCTAGTTAGTCTGCACTCATTTGGCCACTGTCGGACAGTACCATGTAGTTTTCCTTTATTTCATTATTGATAAAGTATAATGTTAATATTAATGTGTAGTGTAATATTAATACGTGGAAAAATGGTTTATTATCAGTTATAATTTGTAATTTATTATTGTACGATATCTGAAGGCAAAAGCATATCTAGACCGCAAAAGGTTAGGTATGAAAAGTTGATGTATTGTAGATTAATTAAATTTGACAATCTTCGGTTTTATAAATGAAATCGAAAATTGGAGTTAAAGTTAATTTTTGTTACTGATAGAACTGTTTCCACCCGATCTACGAGTCTGACTCGTTATTATACGGAAAGTAGCTTTTATGCTGAATTCTTGATATCAATTCAATTTGACCCAAATTTACTTATTCGTGTAACTTTACAAACTTCGTACAGGAGTTAATGTATACAACATTTCACCTATAAATCCCTTAAATATCGACTAAAGCCATGGCCAACGGATGTGTTCTATCGAATCTGAAAACTCAAGGATAGTGAATTCATGTATGAATTAGATAACGGAGAAATTGAATGCATCGCCATATATGTACCGTAAACCCGCGACCTTTCGTTAAAGAGGCAATTTGGGTCGCGTTCGTAAATCACAATCATCGCCACAATCGAGTCACAATCTAGGACGGAGCCAAGTGTTCAATGACAAATATTTCACCGAATGTTTCTGGAAAACAGAGTTACGACAGGTCGCAGCATCTTTTTTCGTTTTCTACTTTTCTCGTTGAACACGTCACAATTTTCTGGATTTCGCAAGAAATTCGAACGGTAATTCTAATTCAATTAAACATATTTCGCTCGTGAAATTATGGCGAAAATTTACTTCACTTTTCATCAGTTCCACGTTTTTTAAATTCGCCTAACCAATTGAAATATTCAAAATGCTAACTGGCATTTTTAATTTACCCGATAGTACATGAATCAATTGTTATCCTTTTATTGTGCGGGCCTTAACACGTTAAACGCCCAGCCTGTTTTGCTTACCGTTCCGTTCAAACCACACTTAGCCGTCAAATGGGCCATGCGAACTATAAACAGAAGACGACCAACGAAAAGTATACTGTCAGTCACCGGTGATTGTGCGGCCTGTACGGAAAGTATAGTGTCAGTCGCCGGTGACTGACATAGCGTTTAACGTGTTAAAATAAAATGCTGTACCTATACCATTGCCGTTCAGTCATTGCCCGTACGGGCAACGTATAGGCATCCCCGGGCGGAAACAAATCGGCGCGCAACGGTGCGTGTACTTATGCATGTGTATATGTAGTAACCATGGCCCGTTTTAACTCTTTGCGTTTTTACCTTCTGCCTGCGGAAGCGGGGGAAAAATAATATGCACACGCTGCCAAAATAATGCGCGCTGCCAAAAAATAACTCCAACCGGGACGACTAGAATGCTTACGGAAAATAGGACCACAAAGAGTTAAGAGGGAGAATTATGTTTCGAAGATATGCAACACAAGCGTTTTTCTCTCACTCCGTTTTAATGTACGTGACATCTCTCGCCCGCGACTTTGCCCTCAGCTCTGCCCGCGGGCATCGGCGGGCGCCCTTGCCCGCCTGAAGCCCTGCTGTATACGGCCCTGGCTCCCGCTACATCAAGCTGTGCCGCCGCTTGATGGTTTAATTTACGAGCTCCCTATGTTTGTTCCACCGACTATACCGTGTTGCACAAACACTATCACAATCTTTGCTTGGTGTTACATGAACCCGTGTTACACAGGTGTCTACTGTACTTGTAAAAATACACGTAGTTTTCATGACCATAGGTGTGCAATTTACTATACGTACTATGCAGTTTTTCAAACACTCCTTCACTTTATCAAGATTAGTAAAATCAGCGTAATTTATTTGTCCTTAAAAGAAAACGTCGACGCTGTGACTCACGAACATTGCGTTCATCGTTATTTTCAAACGATGCAATTAAATATGCGATAACTTGTAACACTTCTATTTTATACAAGAATATGCAATATCTTTCTTTATGTTGTCCATATTAACGGTCGATAAGAACAGGTAACACTTTTCTTCTTATCGATCGAGGTCAAGTTCAACAGTGTAAAGAAATGTGTAAATTAGTACGTTCGTGGAAAAAGTACGCATTTACAATATTTCTTTCGAAAAACAAAGATTATTTAATCACACTTATCTATTGCCCTTTGAATTTCTACGCGTTACACCTGCTTCTATAAAATTCATTCGCAAAGAGTTTAAGAAGAATTTGCAGTTATATTCAAAAACATAAATATCGTTTACATTAATATTATCATAAACTACTAATTTATAGAACCTCAGATGTAGTAAGAAATATGACACGTGACATTTTCATTATACGTAAATTTTTTTCTTTTTCTAAAGAAAAATGGATCATTATATGGAAAAAGGGGTCTCAACTCCAATTTTGTCGAATTTCGGGTATATTGCAGAGGGGAGGGTTCTGAGTCCAAGTGATGAGACGATCGTGGTTTAAAAGTTACGACCAAAAGGAAATTATATTTGTTACAAAAGTTTGCAATTTCTCCTCCAAAAAATCTAACCTAACCTAACTGTACCTTACCACTATTAGGATCGCAATCCTATGCAAATGCGTATGCAATTTCCGTTTTAACGACTTATATTGGAACAAATATAGGGGAGAGTCGTGCAGTACCGGCCACTCTAAGTTTTCGTACTATAACTTGGTAAAAATGAATTTTCAAAAAAGTAATTTGTAGTACAAAGGGTTCTTAATAAAAGGGGACAAATCGTTTCTCTTAAATCTTCTCATAAAGACAAATAATTCGTAGAAATAAAAAAAGTTGTAATTTGCAGCGAACGAAAAATTTTCGTACAGTACCGGCCAGCTACTTAGCAGATTTGAAGGTCTAAGTAATAAATAATGTTAGTAAAAATCATTTAAAAATAGAATAGAACTTTTATCGCAGGTAAAGTGATCGATATTTTCTTGATCCGTACACTCCACGTGAGCCCAACCATTGCAGCTATGAAAACTAACTTTTGTCGTACGGAACACCAGCGTAAAGGTTAAACGTCTTAGAACTCTGGTAATACTGAAGAAAAAAGAATCTCAGTATTCATTTGTTTTTCCATCAATAGCGCAGTACACTCTTCTTTTTCTCATAACTTTTGAACCACGATCGTCCCATACCTCAGACAAATTGCAGGTCACTCAGGACCCTCCCCTTTACAACATATCCCAATATCAAGATCATTGAAGTTGACACTCCCCCCTTTTTCCAGATAATTACCGAAAAATATTGTTTTTCGTTTGCAGTGAATAAGCTTTTCTCGTGAATTTATTGAGAATATTTTTCATTTCCAGATTATCCCTAGCAAACGCTCTGTACGAGAATCCTTCGTTACCACGGCGAAAGCTGCTTCTGAGCACCGGTGGCCAGAATTACCGGCCACCTCTGGAGAGATCAAAAAGCGCGCCGAAATTATCGGCGATCGAGGAGGACATAGCCGCTGAGGAAATCGAACAACAGAGGATCCTCGAGGAACTGAGGACCTTGGAGAACGTGGCACGTAGCTGGCAAGATCAGGACAGCTGGCGGCTCGCCCGACTGCTTGACGCTTTGAATCGCGAATCGTCTGACGAAAACGGAAGTATATCCAGCGGATGCGAGACGGCCAGCACAGCGACAAGCGAAGAGAGAGCCCCTGGTTTGGAAGATCATCATGGCACAGGTCATTATTCTGCGAGTATTTCGCATTTAAAATTCAACCTTGTGGGCAGAAAGAAAGGAGAAAAATTTCTACAAATCTCGTTGAATTGAATATAAAGAAACCAGAAGGAAGAATTCACCTTGAGTGTTAACACATTGCCAAAATATTTCATTCTCGTTTTTTCTTCGTGTTTTCAAAAATGTTGCTCTGTAATATTGTCTATGTAAAAGGAACCGTCGTTGAATTTCACATTAGTAATCTTCCTAAATACTGTATCAGTTTTCCTAGAATTCATTTTGGCAATCTTAGACATCTGTTCAGTTGCAATTCGTTCGGTTGGCAAAGTGTTAAGGCTAAGATGAACCTTTCGCTGCATTGCTGATATGAACGCGTACACTCCCTTTCATAAGTATTAAAGCACCTGTTAAATGTGAAGTACGCCTAAGCATTCGTTACAAGATTATTCAGATCGTGAAAAGAATGATTACGGAAATTTTTAAAAATAGGAATTTTAAATATCAAATATCAAATTTTGAAAACCTGGAAATTTCAAATATCGAAGTTTTAGATATCTGTTTCGATTTAAAGTGCTGTCAGAAAAATAATATCCTAACAGTGCCGCTAATTACGCCACACCAAACATTCGCACGAAATTAAGTTCGAAAATTGTGGGTCGTTGAACTTGTTCTGCCAATCGCTTTCATGTAATGTAAAATAAAATTCTATATCGGGTATAAAAGTCATGTAACACCTTCTGCACGAATATAACGGGTGTCCTAACACTTACGAACGGCAGTGCACGTAAATAGAAGGAAAGTAACGAGTCAGAATTCATTTCTCGAAAAATAACAAAAGCAGCAAACGTCAAAGTGAATTTCAACTCGCTGGCTTGAACATGTGTGATTTTTATAATATTTTGTCTAAGCACGTACATTCTGGTGACGCTTCGTAATTATAGGGAAAAGACATGTGGAACCTAGGTATGTCAGATATGTAAAGTGACATGCTATTTTAAGCATCTTGCATTCGGTCAATCGTTAAAAGCAATAGTGCGCCCTTTAAAATAACACTTCACGAACATTTCCGTTAAAAAAACACCGAGTGTCATGTTAACAAAAATGACATATTTATACTTTTTGAGTTTAAGTAAAATTTGACAAAATGGCTCTTCACGACCTTGGATGGGCAGTTCCCACTTTTTCGCTCCCTCCGAAACATTTCTAAATCGATTTTCCTTCCACAAAGACGCGGAACTGTGAAGATGGTTCGAAGATCGGTTCACGTCCAGAATTATAAAAAAACTCGAAACCTGTAAAAAATCGAAAAGCTATCAGAACCTTAGGAAGAAATTGTAAATAATACGTCATTGATCAGTTCGTGTCAAATGCTTGCGAAGAAACTGAAGTTTTTACATTCAGAAAAACCGCACGAACTTATGGACCAATCTAATAGAACGTATAAATTGAAGTCGTAGGACGTTGAGACCAAAGATGGGCGTGAAATGGACCGCTAGCAAGAGAACATCTCGAATTAATAATCACCGATTATGATGATTGTATTTTTTATATCGTCCACGGTGGAGAGGTGAAAATCGCTCTCAAAGTTGGAGGTAGAAAATATATTTAGTCTAATAACTTGAATAATTTGAAAAATAATAAATAATTTTGATCAAATATGTTCACATTACCCTCATCTTCGAAGGCGATGTTCATCCCTTCAGTGTGAACAATTATCGATAAAAAAAATACGCGTTAAATACCTTTTTGTGTAGGTACTACCCTGTAATAAAGTTTCATCGATATCGGAGATTATCACTTGGAGGTGTTCTCTTGTAAGATACGTGCTATCTGGGAATTATTATAAACCTACACATGTTCAAGTTGGCAAAATCTAAAGAAGCATATAGCACCAGCTCGATTTTGTATAACACATTGTTATCAGTTCTAGAAAGAAAAAAAAAGAATTCTTATCGATCTTTCATTACACATATTACCATTTCTTTCGTAACGTAACGTGCATACATTGCAGGTGATGGTACGGAACAGCGAAGGGACAACAGAAGAGTGATGTTCTCCGAGGACACGGTCGGAAGAGGTCCAGGACCCCGAAGGAATTCCGAGGGTTCGCCGAATTTCATGACCTGCGCGGGCAGCCCGCGGTTTCACCGTCAGAACGTGGTGGTGACCAGCCGAAAAAGGTTTTCGCCGGGAAACGAGGAGGACGAGTCGATGGAAGAGGAAGAGGAGGAAATCGAGGACCAAGCCTCGCATGTGTTCGACTTCGAGGACGTCGAGGACTTCGACGACGTGGTCGATTACAGGCCAAGGGGCGAGATTCTACGCAGACTGGACGATCCCCAGAACCTGGAAAGACGAACGATGGAAAAGTATCCTGTGTCTGGCAGGATAAACCACGATCTGCTGCGAAACGATGCGTCCGCTTTCTTAACCTTAGACTCACTCGACGAGGAAGTGGACAGCGACGAGAGCGGGTACGTCGAGGCGCCGCCGAAATCTTTACTGGGCCAGGACGATCGTAAGGAGGAAGAGGAGTTGCACCCAAGTCAGAGTGAGTCGGCTGACCTCCTCAGAGGATCGAAACGCAACGATTCCAAAGAAACTATGCAAATCGAGGAGGATGACGAGGGGAAGGAGGAAGAAAGTGGAGAAGATGAAGAGGAGGAGGAGGAGGAGGAGGAGGAGGAGGAAGTCATCGAGGAGAATCAGAGGATAAAGGAAAAGGAAAGGGAGAGGACCGATTTCATCAAGTGTCCTATTTCGGAAACGATTAAGAAGCTGGCGAACGCGTCGCTGAAGAGCTCCAAGTCCTTGGAAATGACCACGAGCAACTGTCTGAAAGCTCTGAGCAACTTGAACACCTCGAAATCGTTCGATGCCGTGAAGGTTGCCGAAATGGACGGAGAATCGCCGAGCCTTCACCAGAGGAAGCAGTTGCTCGCTCAACAAGGTGTTATCGTTTAAATTAGAAAGAAAATATTAACGAACAAAAGAGATACAAGTGAATGTATAGGTCCGTTCTTCTACGACGGTTTTTCGATGCTTCGAAATCGGAACGAAACGCTTGTTAGACAATTTCGAAGCGGTCAAAAATTTTACGAAGGACCGACAATATTCGCTGTTTATTTTGTTTAATCGATATAAGTCTTCGTAGGGAATACTATTGTATACTCGCGTTATCGATACAGCAGAAATGAAATGTGTAAGATTAGAATTCGCGAGGGTATACGTTGTTTTATCCAATTGTTGAGAATCGAACAGATAACTTTAATTCGAGTTAATTACGTGTCCTGTTGATTGTTACTCTGAAGTTCAGATCGATAAGATTGTTCGTTGCATCGGTGTACACCATGAATTAAGAAACGAACAATACGCGGATTGCTCTTGCGAAGCGTGCTACAATTATTTCCGTTTATCGATTCACGAGTGTGTACTTACAGAAGAAAGGGAGTCGAATAATTTCACAGCGAAATTATTCAAAACGAGAGGATATATCGTCGACCAAAAGAACTATAAGTATCGAACGAACGCCTTTGTAAAGTTAATCGTCGTCGATTCACAGTGGAAACGATCATTTTGTAAATACAATTAATAAACGTTAAGAATTACGAGAAATTTATGTTTGGTAACCCAAATTTAACGTCGCGCATTTTAATGGTAAAGGCAAATTTTCTTTTCCGACACATTTCCATAGATGATAATAAAAATTTGTCTATTCCTTGTTAGCAATACGATAAATCCACGCGTTTTCTACTTGCCGGAAACGAAATTAAAGATGTATTCCGGTGTTAGTCGCAGATAATTCATTTACAATAGTTTACTCCGGAGAATCGGAATTTTCGCATTCTAAAACAGTTGTATACGGCTCTTGAACGAGAACGTGCCATACGTATGCGCCTCAAAACACTTTTCGCTATCATTCTTATTCTTCTACACGTGTTTTGGAGATTTTCGAAAAGATAAAGTGCTTTATATGCGTTGATGAATAATCTGGACTGAACACTCTGATAATTATACACTGTTCGAAACCTAGTTAGAATCTAAATTGCTTTTCCACTACGATAGATGTCACGCGAGACCAGAAGTAACTAAAATATTATCATCATTGCTGTACAAGAATGGTTCGAAAACCAATAAAAGAGACAAAATTTTTGAAAATCGAGAACTGTTTTTTGTCATTCCGTGACCTAGAAACCACAGGGAGAAATATTCTTAAACTTGCGTCAATTTGCGTTCGGGCAACCATCGTGACTGCTGTAAGTTAATTAATAGTAGGTACAGATCGCGTGCAAAACCGGCAGAAAACGTGAGTCATGGCTCCTTAAATATACAAGTCGCTTGCCGTGGATCCGGGTCAATCGATAGGACAGGAACTTCTCCGTGGCCAGATCAACCACGACGTGTGCAACTTCTTCTGGACAAAAATGTGTTTTGCAAACAGAACGTTCAAAATTTTACCGCGAAATCTTCGATTCGAAAGACTAGTTATGTTGGAGATTATTTTCAAAATTGACAAACAGAAGTGCAAATACACTTTTAGGTACAAAAATTTTCGAATGCATTTTATTTTGTTTCACTTGCATTGAAGATGTAGATTTTAAGCTTTCCAATATTTTTAACAGCAATTAGTTTTTGATGAAATTGCAATTGTAACAATGACATAATTATTCGATACCGTGCAATGTCATGAAAATCGCCAAAATGACCATCAGTCAATCGATACTTTTTTTGTTTTTATACAGTGAATTAAATCGCATCAACTACTTGGTTATTAGCGACGAATCAATACTTTATTGCTGTGCCTGAAGGAATAAAAGACTGTATAAAATCATTTGACAATTATTTTATTCTACCGTTTGACACCTTATAGAAATTTGTATGACAGATTATTGCAAAAAAGGAATAGTAAGAAAATGTTTAAAAGTGATTATCATTAGGTAAAAATACTAATTTTAATGTTCTTTACTATGTATACCGAAGTTACTAAGTACGTTGCGGCACGAAGAATCGTTTATTTAAATTTTGACCTTCGTGATAGCATCTACGCGAAAGCAAAATCGGCAAAAAGAGGATCATCGATGGTATTGCATAGTTATTCATGCAAATTTGCCACATTTATGATTTCCGGCTTCTTCCCACAGGATTCATTTTTAGTATAAAACGTCCCCGTCAGATGGTGCTACTTGTGCTTGCAATCGTGCAGCCGATATTTAAACGCCGCTATCGTATCTTTTTCAACGAAATATCGCTTCATTTAAAACGTTTTAGTTACTTAATTTGAAAAAATTCTTAATTCGTTAATTAAAAGTACTCATACCAATCAGAAATTTGTGTCGCAAAAATTGTGAATCGAACAACGTTAACCCCGATTTAGTTATTCCTATGTCATATATGCAGGAAATAATAATTTCATAAATAGTAGAAAATTGATCAAATTTTCAACTTTTTAAGTGATAAAAATAACTAAATGAAAAACGAAAAGCAACATTCATATGTATCTACAGTATTTCGTTCTTTTAACGAGGAACTAACGGATATACCGTCACTTCTGAAACTTTTCTCATTTGCAGTGCAATAGCACGCATAAGTTTACTTCGTTTAGTGCACGATGACGACACAAACAACGCGAAAATAAATAGAAATATATCCATAGTGAATATGCGATGACAGCGAAATGAACCTTGCGTTCAGTCAAGATCAAGGTGCCTCACGAAGCCTCGTTCAGAGTCACAGTTCTCCATGGATACAATATTGCGCCGGACAATGGTGTGCGCGGCCTCCGTCTGTGTGACCTACTAACTCGTCTGAACAGCCACACGTATGTACACGTGCACGGACGTGCATTCAGCGCGCACGCTATGGAAGTGCTACATAAGCACACGAACAGGACCCAGGACCCGACATTTTTCATCGATTAAATTTCGGTTTACGTACATCCTTTATTACCTCACTTCTCAATGGACATAACAATGACACTGATTTTCTTTTTCTCCCGTTGGAAATTGGAAAATTTCTTTTCTGTGGTGGCGATATTTCGATAAGAATTATGTGCAAATTTTTCATAATTAGGTAACCTTCTATAACACCATGTGATCTATGGAAGTTACATTTTAACGTATCTACATTTTGCAAACTCTATTTTGTTTGCTTATCACTGTACTGCTGTATTCTATGATTGAACTGGTAATTGTCGTATAACACGGTAGATAGGTTAACTAAAACGAAAACTGAATTTACTTTCGAAAACTAAAAATGATGAAAACATGCAGCTGACTATCGGAAATTTAAATTCTTGTTAAAAAAAGAATAAAAATAGTTTTTATTTTTGTAAT